CAAAATTTCAGGATTGGATATTGAAAAAAAAAAACAACTATAGATCATCTGATTCGATACCTAAGCCTAAATGCTCAACTAGACTGTACAGTGATTCCTCTCCTATCATGGTAGTTGCGTTCCAAGACCCACCGCAAAATCGGAAAAAACGCAAAGTAGAGGTGAGATAGTTATTATATTATTTACGTATATATTTACCCTTTACCCTCCCTAGACCCTCCCTCGACTGTATTACCCTTTCCCACACAATTATATCCACAGTAGGGTTGTGGAATGGCAACGAAAGAGTGGCCGACAGGACAGGAAAGTGAACTACCTGTCATTGTGACGCAGCACACCACTGCACACGACCGCATGTGACCTCTGCTCTAAACCACTAAGCCCCCACTGCCCCCACAGACAAGGGGAGATGCTGAGAGATGCTACGATGCATGAGCCAATCAGAGTGAGGATCAGAACAGCATACGCAATTAGCCAATAGTACACCGAGTAGTATGCTGTGTACGATCTCGTCTAGGTAAACAAAGCTACCAGCGACCGTTCGCAAATGCGCTGATCTCAATTTTAAAATGAGAATCCACATTTTTAAAGCCAAAACTTTCATAAGTGTAATTATTTTATAATGTCTTTTAGTTTATTTTTGCTATATTTCGCGATATAGCGAAGATTTCACGAGACCACATTTTTAAAGCCAAAACCTTCGTAAGTGTGTCGGATTTAAGGAGAACCGTGATATACAGAGGGAACATTGTACCGGGTATATGCTAATTCATCAACGTTCTGACACGCTGCACCAAAAGCTGGTCAAAACGAGTTACATGAAATCAAAATAATAAATAAAAATAAATAAGTTGTAAAAACAGAAAGGGCCAATCAGAGAGTATGCTTTTAATCTCACCGGTTGCCAGTCCTTCTGCTGTTGCCAGATGCAGAACGGTGTCATCACTCACCGGCCAATCTGGGAGCTCCACCTTGATGTTCTTCAGACCACCAAGCTCCTGTAGTTCCTGCAAGAGCACATGCTCTGCGTGAGAATTCACCGATTTACTCTATAAAATGCCCTAATGCACATCCCACTGTGGCAGAAAATAACAGGTCTACAACAAACCTGTCTAGTTAGGCTAGCAGAATTGATGCGGATTATGAAAGCAAACCGCTGTTCAAATTGTGTTATCCGGTCCTAAAAACTACAAATACTGTGCCTTTTCCGATGTATTGCATTTTTATACCTGCCTTCACTTTTTGTACTTGTCATTTCAGAACCCTTTGGGTTTAAGCCGTCGATTCCTTCCTTGTTGATTCCTCGGTCCGATACCCTGGGGTAGTATCGGTTCGATATTTTCAGGATCAAACAACCCGTGCAAATACCTACCTTCCTGTGCACACCTGAATATGTAGAGTGATATACAGACAACGTTGGACAAATCGACCAATGGAGTATGGACTAAAAACCAGAAGGTTTGTGGGTTTTATTTGTAAAACTTTTAAATACAATATCGGCTATACAGAAAAAAGTATTGGTCTCTGAGCCCTCAAGGACCTTGAAATCTACCGTTCTCTGAGTTAGGGTACCTTACTGTGTCTTTTTCTTGTTGTCTGACACTGACCTTGTGTATCGCTGGTCCAGACTCATTGTACTCCCACAGCTGGTTCCTGTAACCAAGAGCATCACCGGCACCACTCAGCAGCATGGCTGCTTTGTAGTGCTCCATTGTGGCATATCTGCAAAGACAGACAGAGAGGGAGACTACTCACAATTAAGTGACCTCACTGCAGCTCATTCCTATTTTTTTAAATTTTTTCCTCACTGCAGCTCATTCCTATTTTTTTTTTTTAATTTTTCCAACAACTCCTTCCTGGCTGCTAGATCTTTTATACACATTATCTGATGACATTACTGTCTGTCCTCAGCATGTATTCAAATCAGGGTTGCCAAATTTTTAAAATATTTTTTCAAAATTATTCAGATTCACATGTATTTTGCTCACGCGTCCTTCTCAACACCCAGGTTGCGTTTGCTGGGGTTCAACTTCAGGTCAGATGCGCGATTTGCATCAGACCAGCCTCATCCAGCAACCCAATCCTGCCCCCTTGTAGGAAAGCAGAGTGAATATTGTCTCAACGCTACTCTATAGACTAAAATTGATTAGGTAATGAATTAAAACTATCCTTAAAACATGCAAAAAAATAAATAAAAAGAAATCATTCCAAACACTACTAAAAAAATGGCAAAAATACTACAACCTCTACTATAGCTGTCTTTTATTATGATTATTATTACTATAATTATTGTGCATAACAGTGGGGGAACGTGCTCATTAATCAGACTTATATTTCAAAATGTATATTTCCTGTCAACAAACGTATCAACTCCCTTATACATGTTATGAATTAGATTCCCCAATACATAGCGATGCCAAGCTATATCACTCCATATAAAGCCTTCAGCTGCAGCAAATTTGCGCATATAGCTCAAAATGAGCCACTGCGCAAACGTGGTGCCCTAAGCACAGTGCGTGTTCTGCGTACAGGGAGGGGCGGCGCTGAAGTCAACTGTAACGTGAACGCACCTGTTACTTTGACTACAATATAAGTCACTGCAATTAACTAACGCGCAGCGAAACAGGTACTAGCGCAGTGAAAGAGTAGTTTTAGCGTGAAACATGGGAGAATACAATTCACCTGCTGTGTGTGAAAACTGTACAAAACTTTGGAAAGTGAA